CTGGCAGCGGGCACCAAGGGACAAGGATCTGTGAAACATCACAGTTGGGAACGTGTGTGTCTTGATATTGCTACAGGGTATGGGGTGGGAGAGAGGAGGAGGAGTGTGAGGATAGATGATATGCTATAGATCAGCAGGGGGCCAATGATAGGTGGGGATCAGGGTGGCAAGTGATGGGCTGTCAGAGGCCAGGGAGTCCCTCCTTTGTGGGTGTTAGCGGGGCTGTAGTCACCATAGTAGCTCGTGGGCATGGTCCTTGGTGTTGTCCACGAATCTCGGGTCCTCTTGCCAGAGATGACTAGACCATTGCTGTGGATGAGGACACTCCCAGAGGGTAAATAACTGGCCCAGGGTTGTAGCCCTGCGATCACAGAGCTGGGGTTTGAATGAGGTGGTTCGGCGGCTGGGGTTTTGTCCATAATCGCTCCGCCTCTCTTGTTGGTCTGCAGTTTCGGCTAATCATGTACCTCTGGGGCTCTTTTCCCCGAATGTTATGTCAGGAAAATGTGATTTGATGTAAGAACCTATCTGAATTTCTGCAAGAATATGCCATGGAATAATAGGGTTGGGATGGATTGTGAAGGTTGACACACACATTCCCTGGAGGCTGAAGGGAGGGGAAATGCTGAGACTAACAAAGGTAGGAGGGAACTGGGTCCTTGAGTAGGAGGTCCTACTGGAACAGGAACGAGAAGGTCAGAACAGCTTGACCTGAGAGCAGAGACCCTAAGCTAATGAGAGCCCAGGGGTCAGAGTTTCGGGACTAATTACTGGGTTTGGGAAGACCACGTGAGGGGTGGACCACTGGCGACTGGGACCTTGCCTGCTCCTTGGCCACCACAGGATGGCCTGCTACCCCTGACTTGAGGACGGTGGACCTGGAGGTTTTTGTCTGCAGCAGGACGGGGGCAGGCATGGGGAGGGAGAGAGGGAAGAAACCTAACCTCACACAGTGAGCAGGAGCCATATCAGCATTCAGAGAAAGTTGAAAGAAATCTTTCAGCTGGCTGGCTACCTAGCTCAAGGCTAACCACACTCTTAACACAATAATAAGTCAATCCTTACTGAATAATTAAATAGAGAGCCTTCATAAGTATTGACTTAACGTGACAGCAAGTCTATAGTGACTTGGGGTTTGCTTATGTAAACACAATCTCTTGTTCAGCTTACTTAGCAGTTCAATGAAATAGAACAGTCCTTCAATTAAAATCAAATGCTGAATACATTTAATTCTTTTCTCTTTTTACGGGGTAATAATAGGTTTGGAACATAGGTGAAGGGATGGGGGTGGGGTGGGGAGGAGAGAAGGGTACCTGCGCCCACATGCCTGTATTGTTAGAGGACTCAGAGGAGTGTATCCACTGGCGATGTCCAGAAGAAGGAAGTGGTCTGGGTTCCCATCTTGGGTCCCAGGTGGGAGATCCATGTGGGCGTGGGTTGACTTCTGTCCCATCGGACCCTCCCGATCCTCTCTCAGAGCAGGTGTGGGTTGGCCACTGTGGTTGGTGTGTCAGACTGTTGATGGTGGCCTGAGTCTAACTGATTGCTTCTGGTCAGCTGGGGTCCAGTGGCTCAAACCACAGCCTCTTCAGGTCATTTTCTGTGGATGGTTTCATGGCTCATCTGGAGGAGAGAGGGGATGCTGGGTGAGCTCCAGGCTGCATGGCAAAGAGGGACAAGGGGGGAAGGTGGCATCCCACTGACTCCCTTGGTGATGCCGGAAGAGAAATAAACCTCCCTGGTTCTGTGGCTGCAGTGCCAGGACCGGGGGAGAGTAGTGAGTTGGGAAAGAGATGGCTGGGTAGGGGCAGGGACAACACGGTAGCAGCGAAAGCCCACGGGCTCAGGAGTAAGATCTGGAGCTGAGCCTCTGGCCCCGTTGCTGGGATTTGAGTTAATTAATTAACCTCCCCAGGCTTCTGTTTCCTTATCTGTAAAACAGGGCAGTCCTGCCAACCTCAGAGACTCATTGTCAGAATAAAATGTGGTGATGTCAGTGGAAGGACTTTGCGTGACGCCGTATAAATGCAGGAGGTGCTTGTCAATAGGTCAGAGATATGACGTCCCTTTGTCCTGAAGAGAAAGAGCTTATGTGTCTCCACAGTGTTCATGCTCAGGAGTGGTCAGCAGTGCCCTCCAACCACAGTAACAGAGGCAGCAGGCATTGATGGGCATTGATTGGCATTGCCGGGCACCCACTGCACACCAGACATTGTCCAGGCACTTCCGTATATTTGCTCATTGGACATCTCATTCATCCTCCCCACAGCCTTGTGAGGGAAGAACTGTCATTCCCTCCATTTCACAGAGGCCTGGAGAGGTTTAATGACTCAAGGCCACACAGCTAGTAAGTAGCTGGGCCAAGGTTCAAACCCCGTCAGCATGACGTGATGTCAGAAGCTGGACTTCACGACTAGGGAGTGCTTCTGTGGAGGGGTTGGGGTGGGGGTGTGGGGTGGGGAAGGATGCTTGAAGAATCCAGGGTCTCCAGTGAGTGGAGATCAAACTTTTCTACGTGCAACAGCTTGCCCCGAGGTCTTGGTCATGTCCAGATGGGTTCCATCTGCATTTCCCAGGCTCTGTCTCGAGCCTGCCAGCTCCCAGGAATGGGAATCAGAGCTGCCCCAGGCTGAGGAGCCCGTCCCCTGAGCTGGTAGCTTTTCTCTCAGTCTTGTTGTCTTGGACAGAGAGTCCACCGAATTTGTTGATGCTTCTGGAACCAATAACATTTTGTCTAACTGAAGATGAGAAACATCATTGTTTATAATAGGCCCCGTACAATTAAACGAAAAGAAATAATTACAGTCTTAAAATGACTTTATTAAAAGAGAACATAATGAACAGCAGGTTGTATTAGCATCTTCTGAAATCTACTTCTGGATCTTGTCGGTTCCTAAGCTCACTAATTCCCCTGATTGTGACCAGGGTGCATAAACTGTCTTATCTCCTGCTTTTTATCGCTTCACATGATTTCGTGTTTGAATTTTCATATATTGGTGCAATCCTCCTCCTTGTCATCTCCAATAGTGATGTGGCTTTCGGCGGCTTATCTGTCTGAGCCATTCCTCTCTCGCTGGCGGGGAGAGGACGCCAGGCCGGGGCGTCTTCCTCCCTGAATTTTACCGTCGTCCATTTTCCGAGTTGCTCTCGCTGAAGCGCTCCTGCCCCTTTGGCTCTTTAGTGTGGGTTATTCATACCCTTTGTGGGTGTGAGTTTTGGTCTGTGACCTTCCTAGTGTGTGCTTTCTGGTTGCTGTGAACTTGACAGAGAACATCACATCAAATCAGAGAGCTAAGCTAAATAGTAGTCATGTTTTCTGTTATAAGTGACAGAGACCCAACTAGCTTAAGAAAACTTAGAGGCTGGAACTTGGTTCCCATTTCTCTGGGCTCACACCTATGCAGTCTCATAGCCAGAAAGAAGGATGCTGTCCCATGCCTGCTCCACCAGCAAGACTTCAGGGAAGGGCCCTGTCTGGCCCAGCATGTACATTCCTTCTCCCTGGACCAGTCAGTGTGGCTGGGAAAAGAATGGTGTGGTTTGTGCTGCCTGGGCCATGTGTCCACCTGCAGCCTAGGAGGGGGGTGGTGCTATGGTTGACAGCCTGGCTGGAGGAGGAAGTCCCCAGCCCGCCCCGAGGGGAGCAGCTCTTCTGGCAGAAAGAGTAAGTTCCCGGTGTGCGCTTTCAGGATGCACAGGAGGGAAGGAAGCCGGTTGGTACTTCAGGCCGTGAAGCGAGTGGTGGCAGTGTCTAGAGGAGGCAGGCAGGGATGGAGGGCCAGGCTGTCCACCGTGAGCCCCGGCCCCGGAGGTGTCAGAAAACAGCCGTGTGGGTGAGATCCACCTTCCCCTTTCTCAGTGCCACGTACACTGAACCCACTTAACGAGGCCCTGCACCGCTAGAGGGGCCCGCAGGCAGCCGTTCCAGAGGCACATGGGCCTAGTAAAGCCGTTTGCTCTGCGTTCCCATAAATTGCCTGGGAAGCTGTTATGAGTGATTTGCTCTTCTTGGGAGCCCTTTCTTGCCTCCACGAAATATTCAAGTGCCCTGTTGGTTTGCGTGAGGCAGTGCTGGTGGCTACCCTGGAAGCATTGTTAGCAGCGGGGGCTCCTGGCAGCAGAGCCAGAGAGAAGACCCTGTCCTCACGGGAAGGTGCCTGGCCCCGGTTTGCTGGCTGCAGGATATGCATGTGTGTCCTGCTGCTTGGAGCGACGCTGTCTTCACAGTGAAATCACCTCTGTCTACCTTATGGGGTTGCTCAGAATTAAATGAGAGAGCAGTGTCTGGCACACAGTCGGTTCTCAGTAAACATTAGCTCCCTTTCCTGTTTCTCCACGTCTCCAACCAGCAGAACATTGGTTTCCTAAGAAGATGGAACTTTGGGACATCGACAATAACTTCAGACCAAGCGCTGTGTGTTGGCCAGCATTGGAATGTTTGGGGGTTCTGTGGGAGCAATTCACCCCAATTTTATATGAGGCCAGACAGATTTGAGAAAGTGTATGTGTTTGGGTGCAATCTGGATTAAGGGGGTGTCTCATTGATAACTGGCACCTGTACTTTCTCTTGACTAAGACCAAAGCACGGAACTGAGAGGCATGTCCAAGTGTAGCTGTGTCTGTGTGGGGACAGGGGTGTGTGTGTGTGTGTGTGTGTGTGTGTAGGTGTGTGTGTGCGTATAAACATGCAAACTCTTTGCCATCTAACCAGGAGCTATGGCCTGAAGCATCACTTTCCTCATTGGCTGGGCCTGGAGTGGGGGCAGGGAAAGCTGAGACCAGCTCTGCAGCCTGTGCAGCTGCCATGTCTCCGGAAGCACTTGCCTCCAGGTCACCTGGAGGGCTGGGCAAAGCACAGGTGACTGGGCCCTGCTCTGGATGTCAGATCTGCTAGGTCTGGGGCGGGGCCTGGGAATGTGCATTCCTACCAAATTCCCAGCTGACGGCTTGGTCTTTGGACCCCACTTTGAGAATCGCTGACCTGTAGGAAGTCAGTTTACCCCTGCACCCCCTCTGCATGATTTCTGTTGTGAGGGTCGGTCTTCACACATCTTGACTTTGCAGGAGCAAATCTGCCCAGCAAACAGGACTGCAGGGTCTAACAAATAAGGTACAGGGTGCCTCGCTACATTTGAATTCCAGATAGACAATGGAATACTGGTTAATGTAAGGATGCTCCAAATATGGCATGGACATGCTCACACTGAAAAGTGTATTATTGCTTATCTGAAATTCAAATCAGATGGGTGTCCTGCATTTAATCTGGCAATTGTTTAATCAAATTGGGGGTCAAGTGTCCCTCTCCGTCTCTCCGCTGATTTCCTGTGATTGAATGGGCTACAGCTGCACAAGAAACAAGCCCTCAGAGGGTTTGTGTTTTGGACAGACCCACCTGCTGCCGCACTCACTTGGCAGTCTGCACTTGATCTCGGCGAGATGGACTTGGCTTCTGTTCATATCGGTCCTCTTGCTGGCTCTCTGCTTTTCTCGCTTCGTGGTCTGCTTGTCTTTCTCTCTCTCCTCCTTTCTTTGATGCCATCTCTCTTATGGGGGCTGCGAAAGGAAGACATCTGAGAAGCGATGGGGCTGATCCAGGGAGGCCTGTCCTGGGAGGGAGAGCAGAGTCCACGAGACAGGTGACCGAGGGCGCCTGCAGGGGGAGTGGCACCTGGCCCGGCAATGGTGCAGTGATCACAGCTGGCTCGCGTGCATGTGCAAGGACACCATCGCCTTGGGGGCTGCACCTACCAGGGCTGGTGTGTGTCGTGGTTGGAGTCGAGTGTGTCGTGGCTTGAAGGAAATTGACACTATGTGTCTCATGTTGACAGAGTGCTCCAGGGACCTCAGTGTGTCTTGCGGGGAGGGGAGGACCTGAGCCATCATAGGCCTCCTGGAGTCTTGGACGGGACAGCCTCCTAAATGGTCCCATTTGCCACTCTCGCTTGCCAAGGCTGCTTGCTCCTCCCCCGCCCCCACCCACCCCCGCCCCTTCCTCTGCCATCTGCTGGCCTTGGGCCTGCTCCCCCTCCCTGTGCTCTGGATAGAGCTGTGGCCTGCCGTGAAGGAAGTAGGCCATGGCCTCAGGGGAGCAAGGCAGCCCTTCGTATTGGTTACCCTGGGGCCCAGTGCATGGTGCCTGGCTTCGGGGGCCTGCCTCCTCCTCCTGTGTTCTCAGTGTGGCAGGCAGTGTGGGGGCAGGAGGGCATCGCTCACCTGCTGTCCAGCAGGGTGCCTGGCGCCTGGAGGTGAGGGAGGGGTGAGGGAACTGTCTCCCTGTTCACACTGCCTTGCATGAGACCCACATCCACCTGGGCAGGTAACAGGTGTCTTTTTCTTTTATCAGACGCAGGGAAAGCTGCTCCCGGTGTGTACTTGCCGGTGGCAGGCACAGTGCTGGGACGAGGCGCCCGGGTGGCAGGGAGATAAGGGTGATTGATGCCTCTCCTCTGTGCCCACGTCTCTCAGGCCCCTGTGAGGGAGGGAGGCCGGCATGGCTCACCCATTGGTAACTGGGGACACTGAGCACAGGCCGCATCATGGCCAAGGGATGGGCAGAGCGTGGCCTGGTGACAGAACCTCTCCTCTGCAGCAGCATGATTGCCCGCCCGTCCTCACGGGCAGGCTGTCTGGGCGGCTCCCTCACCTGCAGGGGGGCCCTCGGGTCTGCTTAGTGGGCAGTTGCTCCCATGGGACCTGGCCTGGTGGGCACTCTGCCCAGTCCCCACTCCCTGGGAATTCCTTTCTGACATTGCAGGGACAGGCGTGCCCTCCCCACCCTCAGTCTCTCGGTCATGTGGCAGGGGCTCAGCACGTGTTTGGAGAAAGGATGGGTAGATATCTACCACCGCATCCAGACCCAAGGTGTTTGGATGAAGAAATCAGTAGGGTCTGCCCCTTGGGAACGTGGGTTCCAGTTGGAGAGACCAACAGGGCAACAGCAGTAAATGTCTATACCATTAAGTATTTGCTTGCCTGGTCCAGATGTTGTCTGCAGCTGGAATACAGAGGTGGAGGCAGTCAGAAAGGACTTCACGGGGCAGCATGGCAGGGGAGCACTGGGGAAGCAGCAGGAGGGAGCCGGGCCCTACCTGTGATCAAATGGCATTGGACAGGCTCCTGTGTTTTGGCTAAGAGATGGTATTTGGGTGCCTCCTTGGCGGGAAGGAGATGGACCTGCAGAGCTGGGTTGCGCCCGATGCTGCTCACCTGCGGTCCTCAGTGCTGAGGCTGCTGGAGGAGACATTTGGCCAAAGCTAACCCCTCTCACCCCCTCATAACTCCCGCCTCGTTTGCTTGGTTGTGGGGTGGACAGCCGCTGGTCTTCCATGTGATGTGAAGTCCTGTCCTGTGGGGGCTGAGGCTGGGTTGGAAAAGCTGCTTTTCCCTGCTTGGGGGCCGGGTGGGGAGGAGCTAGAGGGCGTATTTATGGGCAGGAGGGAGGTGGCGAGAACCTCGGGTCCCATTCTTTTCCTGGGAAAGACAGAATATGTTTCCAGTGCTGCAGGATGCTGGGTCTGGAAGGACGTTGAATGCTTCTGCACAGGAGCAGGGACCTGCCAGCTGGGCTTCCGCCCCGTTGAAGTCTGGGACGCAGGCCCGGCTCACTGAGCAATCAGGATGGGCTTTGTTGAGGCTTGACTTCCTCCTCTGTACACTGGAACCATCATACACCTGCTTGCCAGATCTCAGATTCTTTGTGAAGGTTCAGTGATAAAGGGTGGCTGTGAACACCTTTTTTTTAAAAATTGTGGTAAATTCTACATAATATAAAAGTTACCATTGTATCCATTTCTCAGTGTCCAGCGTGTGGCACGAAGTGCGTTCGCATGGTTGTGCAACCATCACCGCCATCATTTCCAGAGCCTTTTCATTTTCTCAAACTCTAGAAATAGCTTTTAAGCCAGGAACTAAGAGCATGTTTTATTCATTTGATAAACAAGGAAACTCAGTCTCCGAGGAGCAAGGATTCACCTGAAGTCCCTGTGATCAAGGGGCACAGCGGACGTGGTAATCCCGGGCCCCACACCCCTCACTCGCTGCCTCTGCAGAGCTTCCCTCTTCCAGCCCGCACCCCCCGGACCTGGGGCCCCAGGCAAACCTGAATTTGTCCTGTGGTGGGACCCACAAGCCGCCTCTGTGAGGGCGGTGCTCTCAGGCTCTCCTGGTCTGTCGGTCTATTTCTCTTCTCCGTCCTCAAATGAGACAGAGTCTGGTGGAGAGCCTGGGGGGCTGAATTCAGGGTGAGCGTCGGGATGATTGTATGAGGAACCTCACCGTGTGGAAAGAGCTGGGATAGGGAGTCAAGGGCTGGCTCTTGGTCCTTCTGCGGTGTTCCCACTGAGCACGTATCTGTTGAGGTCCTACTGTGTGCCGTCATTGGGAACATAGCAGTGAACAAGACCTATTACTCTGGCTTGCAGCTGCTGTGAGACAAATGATACGCGGGGACCCCGGGGCAAAGGGCACTGGCCTCTAGGAGGCAGTGAGGGGGAGGGGAGGGGAGGCGGGCCCAGCCAGGCTGATATGATAGCTTGTGTCAGGGCGCTGGGCTAGAAGGAAGAAGGAGCGGGAATCACTGTGGTGCCCTGGGCTCCTTGGGACCCTCCACACTGGGGGACAGACCCCGTCAGCCGCCTGCCTCCAGGACGCTCAGGGCCGAGGGGAGCACAGGGCCGTGTGCACAGTTCAGAAGCGGTGTCACTGGTGCCGACAGAGAGGACTGGGCGATGCAGGGGAAGAGGCCGATTCTACTGGGTGGGACCTGGAAGCTGGTGGCTTGGGGCCGGGAGGCTGTGCTCTGGTTTGGTGAAGAAGAGGTGGGTGAGGACGCCCTCCGGGTATCTCACCCCAGGGGGATTCTTGTTCCTCCCTGGGGCCACTGCTGGGACCTCACCACCTCCTGTGAGGCCACTAGGGCAGGGTTCACATACCCGTTCTGCAGGTGGAAGAGGGATGTGTAGAGGGACCTGGCAGGTCACCGGGAGTGCGGCCAAGCAGGAGGTGGCACCAGCTTTCCTGCCTTGGTCCCGGGCACGTTTGGTGCACTCGTTGCGGGTTCTCTGACTGAACCATCCATCCGGAGTGGATGTGCCTCAACTGTGTGATCTCCAGGAGCCCCTTCCTCTAGGACAGCGGTCCTCAACCTGTGGGTCGCGACCCCTTTGGGGATCGAACGACCCTTTCACAGGGGTCGCCTAAGACCATCGGAAAACACATATATAATTACATATTGTTTTTGTGATTAATCGCTATGCTTTAATTATGCTCAATTTGTAACAATGAAATTGGGGGTCACCACACCATGAGGAACTGTATTAAAGGGTCGCGGCATTAGGAAGGTTGAGAACACTGCTCTAGGAGCTCTCAGCCTTGGGCCCCAGGCTCGGGGGCCCTGTGTTCCTCTGCTCCCTCTCTCTGGCTCCCTCCAGCCCAGGAAGCTGGGAGGAAGCCCTGTGCCGCAGAGGAGGCGGGAGGGAAGGCAGCCACGCTAATTCGTTCGCTCTACGTGTCTTCTCCCAACACTAGGTCCCGGCTGGCGGACTTCCACGCCAATTGTCACGCTTCCTACCAGACGCTCACCAGCTGTCCAGCCGACAATTATCAGGCGTGTCTGGGCTCCTACGCGGGCATGATTGGTAAGCCACCCACTCCTGCCCGGGCTCACAGTGACTGCGAGCTGCCCAGCGGGCAGGGGCCGAGGCCCAGCTCCAGCCAGTGGGGGGACACCTGACTCGCCTTTCCTGGTGGTGGTTTCAGCTAGAGCTGCCGTGGGAAACCAGAGGCCAGGTTGACTGTTTCATGGGGGAGTAGGGCCTGAGGAACTTACAAGGATTTCAAAATCAGAAGAAGTAATACTGGTTGCAGGGTCTGACATTGCAGGTGCTGTGCTAAGCAGTTTACATGACGAATTCTCCTAACAGCACTTTCTAGGGCGGTGCTGGGATCTCCGTGCTGCAGATGGGGAAACCGAGGTTTAGGGAAGTGGAGTAATGTGCACAGGTTCACCTGTTGGCACTGGGTCCCGAGCCCAGGATGTGAGCCCAGTCGCATGAACTCCAGAACACACTCTGCTTGGGGGCCAGGAGAAAGCACGGGACACGCTCAGGATCGGGGGTGGGGGTGGGGGGGCGCATCCCCATACCCTCTGCCCCCTGCTGACCCCATGGTTCCCTGGAATAGTAACACTCAGAGTTTGGACTATGAGTTGGGATGTATGTGTGTTTGGGGGCAGGTGGGACGGAGGAAGGCTTCCAAACCTCTTATCTTGGTGTCGGGTCTGGGGGCCCAGAGAGGAGGTCTCACTGCTCCCCTCCCCTTTGCCTCCCTTTCTCCCTGTCCAGGGTTTGACATGACGCCCAACTACGTGGACTCCAGCCCCACTGGCATCGTGGTGTCCCCCTGGTGCAGCTGTCGGGGGAGTGGGAACATGGAGGAGGAGTGTGAGAAGTTCCTCAGGGACTTCACCGAGAACCCCTGCCTTCGTAAGTCCTGCAGTCCCCCCTCACCCCCCAGCAGCCCCTCCCACCCTCATCCCAAAGGGGCCCTGAGGCTGCCTGAGCCATGCCCTTCCTCCTCCATCGGGACAGCCAGTGACCTGTGGGGCTGCTTCAGCAGGGTGCCATCTGTGGAGACGGTGGCTGGGCTTTCCGAGTCACACCGAGCTGTTTGTGGCCAGCCTCAGTTTGCCACTGAGGCCATGAGTGTCAAGTCAGGCTGAAGGGTTCTGATCTACTATGCTGACAGCTTCAGACAGGTCCTCTGGGACAGCCCCATGGTGAGGCCCTCGGCTGTCTGTCGCTTCTCCCTTTGGGATCCATTTTTAAGGATCCATTGGAATTAGTGACTTTTTTTTCCAAGTTATCAAACTCCTAATCCAAAGGCTGGAGAACAAGGTGAGCCACCAGCTCTGTCTGCCTCCATCTCTTCAGACTGACACCTCTGCTACCCACTCCCACCTGAAGGTCTCTCCCCCTCCCTCCCCTCATTCTTCCTTCTGTCCATCTGTCCATGCTGCCTTTCTGTATGGCCCTGGGAATTCGGAGAAACAAGTCATAGTGCCTGTCATGGTCAGCTTGCAGTCTGACTGAGGTCCGTGTGGACACAGCCCGGGGGGAACATGCTGGGGAAAGGTCTGCACAAGGCTCACCCAGAGTCCAGGGTGGGATGCCTGGCTCAGCCTGCAGTAGGGAGCCCCTGGAGGCTCCTCACGGGCGACCCCCTGAGGGACAGGGCCATTGGTCAGCTGTAGCTGCAGGGAGGGCATGCCTGTCCACCTGGGCAGGGAGAGCTGTGAGAACCACAGACCATGGAGCCTTGGTACAGAGCATGGGGTTGCCTGGAGTTGTCTGGGCAGGATGGGAATCCCCCTCCCAAAGGGGATCCTGTGGTCCCCATGGTGCTGGGGTGGTGGTGTGGGCCACTGGTTCCGGGTCAGATCTGCATTTCAGAGGTTCACCCTCTGGTCCAGTGTGGAGGGGTGAGGTAGGGATGTGGTGCTGACCAGTCACCCACAGAGGGTCCACTCAGAGGGAGGGACAGTGATGGCTGAGGATCTGAGCAGGGTCAGCGAGGGTGGAGGGAGGGAAGGGAGAGAGCTTTAGGAGGCGGGCTCAAATGGCGGCAAGTGGGTGATTAGGGAGGTGAACTGAGGGGTTTGGGTAGGGAGAGATGAAGCCTTCCAGATTGGAAACACGGGAAAACAGCGTGGACACGGAAGGGAGTGGTGCCTGGTTCAGGTGTAGATATGATGAGCTTGAGGACATGGAGGTGGGAATTTCTTTAGGCATTTGGTTAGAGGGTTAAGTCTTGGGGACAGTTTTGTCCAAGAGGTTCCATTAATTTAGTCCTCAGTGAGTTAGTGCTAACCAATGGTGTGGGAGTCGGTGAGGCCACTCAGGGATGAAGGTGAGTCTGAGGCCCTTGGAATGCCATTGATGGGGACCTAGAAGCACCTGAGGTGGCAAAGGAGCCTGGGGAACCAGTGCCTGGGGGGCTGGGGTGGCGGAGCCCTGAAGTGGGCGTGTCTGCAGCACTGAATGGCACTGGGAAGAGGGTGCTGGCTGCCCTGGGCATGGCCTGCTCCTCCCTCCAGGCTTCCACGCTCGCTCCCAGCACCCTCCTCCCCTCCTCTGCACTCCTCACCACCTATGTTTCTTTCTATTCTGGTCTCTTGTCTTTCTAATCTCCCTCTTGCTATTTTCTTCTCCACATGGGAGACCTCGTATCTGAAGGGGAGCTTTGGCGCAGTTGAGTCTGGACCAGCTGCACTGTGCCCTCGGCTCTGGGCTGTGACAGGGAACATAGTGGCAGAGAAGGCGAGGGGCAAAGTGACGGAGGTGCCCTTGATTTCTCTGCCTCTACCTGCTCTCTCCCTCCACAGGGAATGCCATCCAGGCCTTTGGCAACGGCACAGATGTGAACCTGTCCCCCAAAACTCCCTCATTCCCAGCTACCCAGGCTCCTCAGGTGGAGAAAACACCTTCTTTGCCAGATGATCTCAGTGACAGCACCAACCTGGGGACCAGCGTCATCACTACCTGCACATCTGTCGAGGTGAGGGGCGTGGGGATTGGAGCCTGGGCAGCTGAGGGCTTGGAGAAGCACCATGCTGTCAGGCGGGTGTGGGAAGTTAGCCAACTGGGGTGCACAGGTCCCTCCCTTTGGATCAGGGACCCAGGGCAGGGAGGAACTGGTGGGGCTAGTTGCCCATGTATTCATTCATGAGACATTCACTTTGCAAGTAGCCAGCGCCTGCTCGACCACAGGATTGTACCAGGTCGCAGGGGGTGCAGGGGAAATGGGGTGGTTACCATGTATCAGCCATCTGCTCCTTCCCAAGCGTGTGCCAGCAGCTCTCCCAACTTCACTGAATTTCCACACAGAGAGGAGGTTCTTATTTTACAGGACCTGACCCAGAAGGCTCAGGCAACCTGCCCCAGCTCTCACAGCTAGTTACAGGCGGCATTAGATTTCACCTACGTCTGAGTCCAAGCCCATGATGATCATTTCTTTGTCTGTCGTCCGTTCATCCATCCAACATGGGTTATGCACTCAGAGTGTGTCCTTATGCGAGATGCTAGGGAGATGCTGGTGAATGAGTTTGACACGAGCCTGGTTTTGTGGTCCTTATTGTGTTGTCAAAGGTCAAACAGTCTAACAACCATTAGATAGGGACTGCGGTCAGAGTCATAACAGGGCACAGGTGGCACTGTGGAGGTCCTCATAGGGCGCCCCACTTGACTTCTCTCTCTCTGCTGACCTACCATCATGTCACACTTGTGCTACAGTAGATTCTTTGCATATTAACTTGGCTCTACTCAAAACACACACACACAAAACCATGCACACTCAATGACATGCACTCACATACACTCATGCGTTCTCTCTCTCTCTCTCTCTCTCTCTCTCTCTCTCTCTCTCTCTGTCTCTCTCTCTCTTTCCATGATCAGAGATATCACCTTTTGGATGGGTATTCAAACAAATAATAAAATTGTTTCACTGTTTTGAAATTTAAACA